CCTATGCAACGCATTTGTAGAAGAGAAAAGCCCTCAACCCTGAAAGATATGAGGCACTCAAAGAAGAAGTTGACAAATTGAGCTGCAATGGCTTCATTTGAGAGACCATCTACCCACATTGGGTATCCAACCCCGTCCTGGTAAAGAAACCCAACGGGAAATGGAGAGTATGTGTCGACTTCACCAATTTAAATAGAGCTTGCCCAAAGGATAGTTTCCCCCTCCCAAGGATAGATCAACCTGAGCTTCATGGACGCATAGTCGAGGTATAACGAGATCTCCATGTGTCAAGCTGATAAAGAGGCCACATCGTTCATTACAGATAGAGGATTGTGCTGCTACAAGGTAATGCCTTTCGGACTAAAGAATGCAGGCGCTACCTACCAAAGACTGGTTAACATGACGTTTGTTGACCTCATTGGCAAAATCATGGAGGCAAGGGATCACATAGGTCACCTCGATAACACCTTTCAAATTCTGAGAAAATACAAAATGAAGTTGAACCCACTGGTGGTTGCAAATAACGCCAGCATTGCTCAAGCTTTGAGCACCAGTGTCTGACTGGAAGGCCTAATGAAGGATCTGAGGGCCAAGTCAAAACTCGCCTTCTTCCAAGAACGGTTTGTTTTTCAATTACCCCTATTTAGATATGTGCACGGTTTTCTCTACACACTGTGTTTTTACATGTGCACATTGAAATAAGTATACGGTTTGTGGGTTTCCTAATCTACTGTTCAATCAACGGTCAAAGTCTATATATTTCACTACATTTTACTTGTCAATTAATGCGTGTTATTGAGTTTATTAAGGGATTATACTACTGGGTTTTTATTTTCAAATTACATTAAGGGATTTTGGTTGACATGGAAATTTAAAAGCGAATTTCTCGAAAATTTTATTGATTTTTGGTAGTGGGAGGTCTTCTATGTTTGCATTTCATGCCTAGTAGGAAAAATTCCCATTTTAATTAATCAAGCCATTGGTTTGGGGATTTTAGAAAATTCATAAGTGTGTTAGTATGTACTCAACGATTCTGCTGTATCATGCCCAACGGAAAAGATCCCATCTTTAATTAATTAAGTCATTGTTTGGGGGGTTAGAATATTTATCTGAGTGTTTATATGTGCTTAAACGCTTATGTACTATATCCTTAATTATCTTGTTACAACTTACAACGTATCATATTTAAGGTTTGCCTTTGCGAATGGATATGAATTTTGCAGTGCATTAAATGGATTTTTTTTTATTTTTTTATTTTTTGCAAGAAAATGCTTTTGGATTGGAAGGAGAATTTTTGGCAACAGATAGAAATTCATGGTCAAAGGATTCTCCCAAGAAAAGAAATGGAATACATTTTCTGAATATCATCAAACTCGCAATGCTTTTGAGCTTGAAAATAATTTGAATGCTTTTGAGCTTTCGACATGTTTCTATGCAAATGTCACCTTTGCAGAAATTCTTTTTCTCTCTGGCTTGTTAATGTGTCTTGGTTTTTAGTTTCCTAGTTTACATTGTACTTCAACCACATCACAGGCTTCAACAGTACAGGGTAGTGGAGATGAAGCTTCTTGCTCAGAAGAGGGATCTTCAGGTATACACCATTTGTTGTCAGGCATCTTCATTTCTATTCAAATTGTTCCTTTAGTCAAGTTCTAAGGTTCGGCTATTTGTTATATTTCTAAGAAATTGGTTATGATGGAAAATTTTCGATGGATGAAGCTTTGCATTCCTTACCTTAACACCTGATGAAATTTTGCATTCTTTACCTTATCAGCTGATGATGCATCACGATGTTTTCCACGACCAACTTAAGCATTTCTTGTCATTTAGTATCAAATAAGCAGGTTCTCTTCAAGTCATGGTTCTGATGGTTTTATTGATCATTTTCATCTTTTCTGCTAGCACTGATAGTTATAAGCTTGTCACCATTCAGACTTCTTCTACTCGGATATTTGGAATCTCAAAATTTTCCATCAACTCTACCTCATTCTTGTTTAATTATTTTTTCGAGTGAAGTCTCATTTTTGTGAATTGTAATTTATAAGCCTTTATCTTGAACTAAAGAAACTAAAAGTGAATTTCTCAGGCTCAATCTTGTTGTCTTGCTTTGCCATTCCGCTTTGAGAAATACTTTCTGTTGTTTTAATGTTACAGTCAAAGATTCCTGATATTGAGAAGTGCTTAGACGTGGTTGTGACTTAGCAAGCTAAAAAGGGTTCTGGTGAGGTTCGTTTATTATTGTTAAGCATTTCATAGATACAACTTGTTCGCATTTTCTTGTTAAGTAGAAATTGAAAGATGTATTCATTTAAGCTTCCGTATTGATTTCATTGTCAGTACTGCCTATAGATACTGATTGGCAGAAAAAATTATGAAAAATCAAAACTAAACTTCACCATGCAAGGGAATGTTGGCTAATTTTTTTTATGGTTATTTATACTGCTAAGGTTTATGGTTTGAGAATATGCATGTTGTGATGGCAACATCAGGGGACCCAATGAGAAATCCTTTTCCATCCCTGCATTGAGATGTTTTTCCAATCTGATCTGACTTACAGGCAATTTTATTTACCATACGATGCACAATTTACAGATCCTATATCACCTGATGGGAATCATTTTTCGTTACACATGTTGAATGATATTTGTTCTAGATTTGTCTTAAAAACTTAGAGACTCCGTTGACTTATTACTCAGCTTACACTGGAAACTATTTAGGTAGCTTTACCTCTATTTTTCTTTGTGAACCATGACACTATCTCCTATATTTTAAGGCTCTGCCTCAGCTGGTGGCAGTTAGGAAAAGGTAGGTAACCATATTGTTTGGACATTCTCATAAAGCATTTGATTTAGTGAAAAGGACTCATTCCCCAGATCAGTACAACATAAAATCCCGGGACAGAAGCATCCATAGTCTAGTAATTGCAACTTGAATTCTAACGCGTTTGTTAAGAGAATTTCCTGTGTTATATATCTAGTTTAATTTACTGGGAGGAAAAGAACTGTAGCATATATGCAAATAAGTTATTCCGACCAAATTCTGTGTGCTTGTGCTAGTTACATTGAGTTTTTGCAATCCCAGTCAAGTGTTTGTCAGAGTAAGTCTTTGTCTGTCTAGTTTGGTTACAGGTACTAACTGCGGATTTTGAAGTGTCGGAAGGCATTTATTCCCAGGCTCGAATTGAAGATGCTGATTTTGTGTGTCTATGGCTAGGAGCAAATGTCATGCCGGAATATTCATGTGAAGAGGTATGTTACTGTTTGGAAAGGCTTTTAACATAGCATTTCTGCACTATTTGCCCATGGTTCACGTGTTCCTGAAAACTATATCATTCAGGCAAACATTCTTCAAAAAAAATTTTGGAAAATGCCAAAGCAAGTTTAGAAGTTCTTGTTGCTGATCTACAATTTTTAAGGGACCAGGTGACGATCCACAGGTATAGGTTTCACTTGTTTTCAACAAATTCTGGTAATTGTAAATGGGAACTTTTTTCATATCTTAAGCTGTCTGAATTTCAAGTCATGTTAGTCTCTTGAACCGCATGATGAAATGCAGGGCAATTGCAATACTTCATAATGTTTTTATTTTTAACTTTGTAATTGCTGCTGGCCAGGTTACAATGAGTCGTGTATACAACTGATACAACTGGGATGTACATCAACGTAGACTCCTTCGAGCTGCTGCTGCTGCTACCTCAGAGTGATGAGAAAATTTTACGTGTCTCAACAGAAGTGGTGGGACTCAGTTATCCATTCAAATGTTTGGCTCAAATCTCTCCTTAACCATCTCTTTGGCCAGTTATTCTAATTTAGAAAGATAATTATGAGGTTGTTCTTCTCTGGTTCGAGATTTTGTTGTAGATTTTATATATATATATATATATATTTTTTTTTTTTATTTTTTTTTTTTTTTTTTTTTTTTTAACTCAATTGG